ATTAGAGCTGCAGGTCCCTATTTCTTCTTCTCCAGTAAGTGCTTGTGTCCTCTAGATTTACAAAGTGTTCAGAAATCATGTTCTGATGTGTAACAAAAATGCTCTTAAAGATTGCAAAAAACATCACGTGTTTTTGCAGTTTTGACTAAAGATGCTCTTCAATGTTAGAACTACAGAAGCTCTAATGTCTTTATGATGCCTTTCTTCTCTCTTCCCTTTGTCTCTCTTCATCATCATGCTCTGCTTAAAGTCTTTGCCCTAGTGTGTTCTGACCAACAGTAAATAAAATAGAGCACAACAGCTTGGATAACTGGTTTGCTTGGTGTTTGACAGATCAAACTTTATAAGCAGGTAGAACATCAGCATGCCTAAAGTGTGAGGGAGGAGGAACAGAAAAGGCCTTACCTCTAAGATCTCTGGAATCGTGGCACAGAATCTCACTGCTTTGAACACAGAAGAAACAGAACAGTTTCAGAGCAACAGAACAATAAGCATTAAGTGTCTTGGAATTTCTTACCATGCTTTGTGATGATGGTACCTTCAAAAGGCAGATTGTCAAGGATGCTTGTGTTAACCTCTGTGCAGTCTGGGCGTAGGAAAGGGAGAGGCAATATAACTCATGGATGCTTTCATAAAGCTTTGGGAATTGATTCAAGGACTGAGGTGTTTCAGGGACTCTGAAGACAGGAGAAGGAGAGCAGACTTGGAATATTTTACTGGAGAGCTGGTAAATCTTACTGGACCTTGGAGGTGATAGAAGGTGAGCTTTTTGACTGAACTGGAGCTGGTCTGTGAATGGTAAATAGCACAAAAGAATATGCAGCAAATACTCAGAAATGTGATCTTGGAGCCATCAGAATTTCTGGCTGTGTTCTGATGCACTTGAGTTCATAAAACATGCCCAATTTCCTCAGGATTCATGATATTTAATTCCTCAGGGCTTGTTCTGCTCTGAGCAAGCGTTTGCTGGCTAGATCTTCTGCCAAGTTCTTTCATTCTTTTAAGCCCCCGTGGTCCTCCTAAAGCTGAAAACTGACTTGCAGCCATGCTACTCATCTTGTCCTCTGCCCAAGCACTTGCCAAAGAAGCCTTTTGCTGCATCTGTTGCATGGGCCTCCCTGCTTTTCCCCTTATGTCATTCGGTACGTCCCTGTGCTGATGGAAATAAGATATTTTCATTTAACTGCCTTAATGCATTTTTAAACTACATTTTTAAGAAAAATAGGTCTTAACCTATGCTTAAGTTTCACCACTAATCAGTGGTGATCAGATGTGCGTTTTGTGTGTTCTGGATAGAAGAATAAATACAAGTTGTGATGTTATAAACTAAAAGGAGTACAGAGCTTGTTTTTAATAAGCCACACACAGTGGACAGAGTTTAAATACACATGGGCCTAAATTCAGGAAAGCCTGCAGGAAACTACCATTTTTCTTATCCAGAAGCAGTAAGGTGATATTGACTGTCTTGATTTTCTAGCACAATCCTGTTACACGAACTTATGTTTGTCTCTGCCTCAAGAAAAAAAATTCTGGAATGGAAGCTGAAAATGCTGTTAGCTCTCTGATGGCATGATCATAGGGGTCAGAGAATGTTAGGTGCTCAAACATTGAAAGGTATGACACTTTAAGCTGTCTTCTGCTGTAATAACCATCCCACAACACATAGGGTGGAGTCTTGGATGCAAAACTGAACTTTGCTGAAAGCCAATATATAGGAAACTGTCTTCCTGGTGTTCTGAAACAGACTGTGAATGAAGTAGAAGTGAATGTATGTTGAAACTAAGGTTGGAGGATCTTGTGGAAGTGTAAATAATCCTATACAGAAAGCACAAAGGAGAGTGAGATTGAATTATCACCAGGATCTTGAATATCCTTGAAGGTAAGGAGATAGCAGCTTTTCTGTTACTTCAGACAGGGTCTGTAAGTTTTTAATTCCTTTTCCCTGGATCATTATGTAAGACTAGGCTCTTTATAATTAGCTTTATCCCTGATTAGGCTTGTGTGCACTAGATAATGTATTTCCCAAGGCAAAGAGTGTAAGACTGGTTTGCCCCAATGTCCGTTTTAAAAAATCCATATACTGCTGAGGTCTAAAAATATTTTTCATTTCTTCATAATACTTAAGTTGTATCGAACCCGAGTTTTGTGTGATGTAGAAATCATACTCTAACTTGCAGGTACTGTGCTTCTTGATAAGAGAATTTCATTATTGTGATAATGTAATTTCTAGTAGTAAATATGTGTCAAGATTGATGATGTTTAAGAGAGCTTAATAAGAAAATTTCCCATTTTCAGGGAAATGTAACATCTGCCAGACAGGGTGCTGTGGAGTTTTTGGGAGGTTTTTGATGACACTTTATTTCAGTGAAACAAACATGGACTAGAATTGAAAAGGCTGCACAGTAGTGATAGTTATGTAGCTAATAAAGCAAGTATTACTTGTCTTTTAATTATCTGAAGCGTTTTAAGTAAACAGCACAGTTTTCTTGAAGATAA